TAATTGCCTAAAGACAGATCTGTAATTTCTTGGCTTAGTAAACTTTTCATAAGGAAACATCTCTCCCGCCCCAATTTATAACTCCTTGTCAACTAGCGAAAGCTAAAATTTGTATAGCTCTTTGCATATATTGTCTCATTACAGCCTTAAAGTCATCTTGTGCTGTAAATGCTATTATTATCCCCATTTTACAGATGAGCAAGTAAAGTGGACCTAAGTGCTTGCTAAGGATCATCTACATCATTAGTTTCTAAGATAAGATTCTTCTTGGCTCCAGCACTCTATCTATCTATGTTCATATGTTTCAGGAATCTCTCTAAGACTAAAAGTTGTAGAGAATATGTTGGCCTAAATTGGAAGAACAAATCTTTTTATGTGCAGTTGTTTAGTCAGCTTTCAGTCATGTCCAATTCTATGTGACCCCATTTGAGGTTTGCTTGGCAGAGATACTGGAGTGGTTTATCATTTCCTTCTGTAGCTCATTTTGCAGATGAGGACACCAAGGTCCACAGGGTGATGTGACATGCCCAGGGTAACACAGCTAGTAGGGTCTAATACCAGATTTGAAATCAGGCCTTTCTGACTCCAGACTTAGCACTCTATTCACTGTACTACTTAGCTGCCCCCATGTGGGAGCTCTCAGTAAGAGTGAAATTGCAGACCCCATCCCTATACTGTATCATTGATCAGTTGTTGTGGATATTGTAGCACAAATTCTTTCCCTAGTGAGATTGGACTAGGTAAACAGTGAGTGAGGTCTCTTCCTATTCTGACCTTCTATGATTATATCAGAGTAAAATATAAAGAATAATTACCAATTAACTTGGAACTGTGCATTCTCCACCCAAACGCCACCACTTTAGTGCCAGGGTGTTCTACTACCATATTCTACTGGTTTCTTGGTATTTGAAAGTTCTAAACACACACACACACACACACACACACACACACACACACACACACACACACACGTGCACATGAGCACACACACAAACATATACACTAACCAAGATCGATGCATTTTCACCTGGCGGGGGTGATGTTGCTGAAGATGATAATGGCTCTAACAGAACACCATTTATTTCCCTAGATATACTCTGGACTCTTTCACAAAACAAACTCAAATGCTGCAAAACAGCCCAAAATGCTATGATTTCAGCAATTTTCCATGAAGACACTGTATCTATCCCTACAAATTCCAATTTTCAGCTGAAGAGCTGTCCAGAGATTTGCTTAACCCCTTGAATGACTGTTGGCTGGGAATGAGCAGAGACTGCTGAGGGCTTAAGTGGCTTCATTCTCCCCCCAGAGCTACCCCCAGTTCCTAATGGCACCATTCAGGATGAGGAAAGAGATAAATAGACCATTAGTTTCAAAAATCCTTACTTTCTTTCATAGAACATAAGATGCAGGCAGGATAAGAGCTAGACTATTGCATCTGATTTGGGAGAGAGGAAAATGTGAAGAGCATAGGAATTGTGGGCCCTAACCCTAACACAGCTCTGCTATTATCCCAGTGTGGAATGGGGCAAGTTGTCTCCGATCATGAGTGTCAGTTCCCTCATTGGTAACATAAAGACTCAGTGGCCAATTTTCTTTTTGCCAATATAATAAAAATGACAATTCTCTTAAAGTTAATTTACAGTTTGAATGCAATACAAATCCAACTATCAAAGCAATACTTTCCAGAACTCAGTAACAAAATAACAAAGGTCATTTGAAGAAATGAGAAAGTATTTCTAGATCTCAATTTTCCATTTCGTAATATGGGGGAAATTATCACATAATCTAGAGATAAAAGAGACCTCAGCAACTACGTATTCCAATTCATAATGGGAAAAAATCCACACCGTAGTATAATATAATGTGCTGGGAGGACGATATGAGAGACTGGTCAGGAAACAGAATTGATAGTTTACAAGTCTGTAGTGATATACAGTTCATAAAGCACCTTACCAAAAATAACCTTGTGAGGTAGATATCACATGCTTATTATCCCCATTTTTTAGAAAGAGAAACTGAGGTCCAGTAGACCATTAGAGACCAAATAATTCAGTCCTTTCATTTGGAGAGGAGAATGTGGATCAGGCAAATATAAGTTCTTCATGAGTAGAGATTCTTTCATCCATTGCATTTGTATCTCTAGTGCCAAGCACAATGCCTCATACATAGTAGGTTCTTAATTAATACTTGTTCATTGGTTAATTAAGTGATATACCCAAAGGTGCCCAGGTAGTACGTGGCAGAACCAGTATTCCTACCCAGGTCACAAGGCCATCGATTCAGAGCCAAAAATAATTGTATTAGGAGTCCCAGTGGACAGAGAGCCAAGCTGAGAATCAGGAAGACCTGAGTTCAAATCCCATCTCAGACACTTGCTAGCTATGTGACTCTCAACAAGGCACTTAACTTTTGTTTACCTCAGTTTCCTCATTTGTAAAATGAAAATAATAGCACCCACTTCTCAGGGTTGCTGTAAGGATCAAATGAAATAATGTTTGTGAAGTGTTTTGAACAGTGCCTCGTACATAATAGGTGCTATATAAATTTTGGTTATTATTTCTACTACTTGCTACTACTACTACTACTACTACTACTACTACTACTACTACTACTACCATCACCACTACCACCATTACTGCTACTATTGTTGCTACTATTACCACTATTATTACTCCTACTCCTACTTCTACTACTACCACCACCATCACCAATACTTCTTCTGTTATTGCTACTACTACTACGATTACTATTACTAGTAGTACTACTAGTACTTCTGCTGCTGCCACTGCAGCTACTGCTTCTCTAACTTTCTCATTTGAGAGATGAGGAACTAAGGGCCATAGCTAAGTGACTTCTAATATCGTAAGAAAGGATTTGAGTGCAGAACTTACTGACTACAAGTCTGGCATTATCTTTGGATAAACTATTTCTCATGAAGGCATTAAGTGCCTAGTATAGAGAGAAGGGGCGGTAATCATGAGATGCAGCTGGGTCAGAGCAAGAGGAAGGAAGGGTTAAAATACGGGAACTAAAGACAAACTTTTCTGGCAAGAAACAATTTCTCCCAGGGCTGGCCCTGATTCTGTCACTGGACAGTTATAATCAGCCCTGTGTGATTGCCTAGACAACTGATGCTGATTGAAATGTCATGCCAAATTTCACAAGAGCCTCAAAATTCCTGACTACCCTATCTCCTTTCCATGTTTTCACTTCTTCTGTGTAACTCCCCTGTGCTGGTGGTGAGTGATGGTCATTGACGAGCAATCATTCACTAGCTCTGCCTCCCTTTGCCTCTCCCCTCCACACACACACAATGAAGTCAGAGTCCCATTCCAAGAAGTGAGGTGGGGGGATCCTTAAGGCACAGTGTGATACACCCCTGCTTAAAAGGGTGGCTTTTATCCCACTGAGAATCTCACTGCAAGCAGCGTGCTACTTTTGAAAAGATCACCTGGCAAGGAATCACAATACTGAGTTTCAGGCTTGATTCTATCACTAAGTATCTGCATGTACCTAAACAGCTTATGAAGGTTTTGATATTTTGCTGCCTCAATTTTCTCATCTATCCAATGGGGCTAATAATACCTTTTTCTGCCTACTTCATAAGATTTGAATGTGACCACCAATGAATGAATGAATGAATGAATGAATGAATGAATGAATGAATGAATGAATGAAAAATCACAACTTGCTATGGGCTATGTGTTAAAGACACATATATAAAAGTGATAATAGTGGACATTTCTATATTCCTTTAAGGTTTGTAAGGTGCTTTGCCCACATTACTGTATCCTATTTGAATCTTGCACCAAATCTGTGAGGTAAGTGCTAGTAGTAAAAAAAAAAAGAGAGGAAACTGAGGCTCAAGGAATTTACTTAGTCATGGTCATACAGTTAATGTGTCAGAAATTGAATTTGAACTCAGTTCTCCACTGGTTGCTCCCAAGATCATTGATCTTGAAGTAAGGAAGGCCCCTAGAAGTTATTTAGTTCAAGCTCATCATTTACAGATAAGGAAACTGAGTCACAATGTGGATAAGTGATTGCCTCCAGGTCACGCAAGTATAAATATCAGAGGCATAATTTGAATTCAGGTCCCTTAACTCCCATCTAGTCTCCTTTCTACTGTGCCATAACCCATGATATTTCTACTATGGTATGTTACCTGTCCCTATATAAGAACCAGAGGATGTGTGGTGAGACAGATAGAGAATGGACTTGGAGACATTTAGACCTGAATTCAACTCCCACCTTAGACACTAAAAATCTGTGGGAACCTGGGCAAGTCATTTAATCTCTTTGGCCTAGTTTCCACATCTGTAAAATGAGGAGATTGGACTCAAAGACTTCTAAGATCCCTTCAGCTCTAAACCTATGAGCCTCCCCGTAGTGATCACTGCAAAATATTCAAAATAACTTTGGAAGGTTAAAACATGCTTTCCAGGTGTAAAGGATTAGGGCATTTAGAGCCTCATGAGCCTGAATGGAAAGCAGAGATTGCCTAGAGCCTTACGAAGACTCTTTCTCCAAGAGATATTTGGTGGAGGCAGGGAGGTTGGGGGGCTCCATTCAGAAAACTCTCACCACCTATGGGATCTTTGTGAAAAGGAGAAATGCAGGTGAAAGTTATGAAGGGGCCCCTCTCTGCACCTATAGCCAGAGGAGCTGAAGAGGAGAAGAGCAGATGAGACCAGGGGGAGAAATCACCATTGAATGCAGGGCCTGAAATGAACACTCAGGAATGCAAGTTATCACTTTCCGTAAGCTCTGGAGTATGTTCTCTGGCACCTAGGCTTTTCCCATTCATTGGAAAGCAGCTAATGACCATTATTGGCCACAAATCTGAGAAACTGTCCAACTGGCATTCATTTTGAAACACATACACATTCAAAAAGGTTAAAATGTTTAACTAAAAAGTGGGTTAACTCTTTCAGTCCTAAATGGGGCTAATCACCTTCTGTTCACTTTTATCTCTGTTCTTCCAGCTGCTTACATACCCGAATCATGAGAACAGCTTTCCTGATGTCTCGGACTCCATCATACACCAGGCGGGAGGCATCAATGAACTCATTCTCTTCAAAAGGCTGAGGAACATTGGCACTCAAAGCTTCGATGGCCACCTCCACTTGTTCCGCAAAACGTGGCATAACTAAATGAAAATCAAAAAACAAAAAGCAATGAGATTATAGATTTTTTTTTTTACTTCCTATATTGGTTCCAATATTCTGCAGGGAAAGAGCAACCTTAGAACATCTTGATTCTACAACCCAAAGAGGGAGGTGAAGGGTCAAAGCTGTCAGGTACTACAGTTTGCATATCTAACTCACTCCTCAGAATTAATTTTAAAGTGTGCATTAAGAAAAACTTGAACATGGTCCCATGTGTTCAATGAGTTCACATCAGGGATCCTAAGGACATGCTTACCAAAACCAAATAGAAAGGCCTCTGTCTTTCCAGCTTTAAAATAAACTATTAGTGATTCTTTCCTTGATTATCATCCCTGAAGGAATGACTTCATGTTACTGGATAAACGAGATAAATCATCCTAAGCAATCATTCACACATCAGTATGAATACATTTATAGACTACTTTGCTTATTGCAGGTTTTGATCAGGCAAAGAGGCAGAAATTGTAGGGACTGGTTATTGGGATATGTGTCTAGAGAAAATCATCTTAGGAAGAAGGGAAAGAAATAGAAAGCAAAACAGTCAAAATTTTACCTCCTTTACAATTTTGCTGGAAGAATAGCTGATATTGAATTTAGACAAGCTTCTACAAGCACATATCCATTTTGCTGGAAATCAAACACCACTTTTGCAGAAGGTCCTTCTTGTTCTTCCTCCCACTCTGACCCTTCCCCTAATCACAACCACTAGTTTCTTCACCACTAAGGTTACTTCATATCTCATTTGTATGTACTTTGTAAATATCTATTTAGGTACATTGTCTCCCTCATTAGAATGTAAGCTTGTTGAGGACAGGAATGGCTTCCTTATTTTCTTTATATCCCTAAAACTTAGCACAATACCTGATGCATGGAAAACATCTGAAAATTCTTATTGATCGATTTATTGCTTCATTTATCCCCAAGTATATTTGCTTATGAAATCTTGGTCTTGAGTCGAAAGAAAGATATGGAATACATAGAATACTTCACTACCAAATCTACTTTTTTCATACATACATACATACATACATACATACATGCATACATACATTATATATATATATATATATATATATATATATATATATATATATATAATGTCTCACTCAAAAACACCTAAACATTTCAATCTCTTAGGTGTTACTTTAGACCAACGGATCCCCAGAGTAAATGGAAGCCTGGAGGTATCCATTAGCTTACAAGGACAATCAAATGGAAACATCACTCATCAGTTTCCATTTCTGAGCTTTCTGGGATGATTCATGTTCATCCTCTCACTTACCCCTACCCTGGACATTGTAACATTCATTTTCTGCTGTGGGGAGAAAACTATGATGGGTTTACTCCACTCTCTAGGGCAGAGCCTTGTAGAGAAATGACTCATTTCCAAATCCATTTCTACCCATAAAAATCTGCGAATGGGAGCACAGAAGGAGAATCGTGCTCTTTTAATGGGCAAAAGGACCATGATTCTAGATTCTCACTGACAGACTCCAAACAAAGCATTCCCTTGTCCTTGAGTGGAGTAAGGATGATTAGAGCAATGGTCTACACTACATGTGTTCATGCTTTGGTTCTGCTTAAGGGGACACACCAGGGAAGGGGATGAAGAGGGATTTTACTTTTGCTAGTGTGAATCAGGGAAAGCCAATTACCCACACTAGAGAATGAAATCTAGATAGACCTCACTTAAACACATCATCAGAAAATGAGCCATTTCACGACCCCATTCTGAGGTCTGGAGCCTACTCCACTGGTGTGAGAAGACTCCTTTTTAGCTTTAGTGATTTGGGACAAACATCATTTGAAACTGGACTTTGTGGTCCTTTGCAGCCTTTATGCCAACACTGCCATGATAGTAAGGCAGTATAGTAGAATAATGAAATATCTGGGCTTAGAGGCAAAAAAAATGCTCAGTTAAAATACTGCTTCTGATGCTTATTAGTTGCATGTCCTTACTAAAATCATTTAACATCTCTGAGCCTCAGAGTTGTCACCTAAAAAATGGGGATATCCATAATCTCCACCTCGAAGGACTGTTACACAGCAATGGATGTAGACCACGATATAAACCTTGAACTGCAAAACAAAATTAGGGACTGATCCTGTGACTACATTGATATGTTGGACTCCCATGTGGGGAAACTCCCTCTACTAATGGAGCTTTACATCTTCCTTTTCATTTAAGAAGCTCTGGAGAGCTGTCTAGAGTAGGGGTGTTGAACATGTGGCCCACAATTCTTCTGAATATGACTCATATCAGGTTAAAACGCAGTTCCTATCAAATTTTAATGCTTTGATGTATTAAATATGTGTATATGAATATATTTTTATAAATATACACAAAAATAAATTTCTTTAAATATGCAGCTATATACACCAACATGTACATATACACATATACATACACTTATAAAAATATATGTATACATTTGTGTGTATATATGTGTTTACATATGCATGTTTATTGTGTGTGTATATATATACACATACACACACACGCATATATATATATACACATACATACACACACACACACACACACACACACACACTCATATATATTTTTTTCCCAAGTCAATATATAGCCTTCAGGAATTATAGTGGATAGTTTAATGCCCCCATTTCTAACTGTATTTAAAATGATTAGTATAGATTATTAAGAGTTTATATAATTTTCCAGGTTCATACAACCAATGTGTTGGAGAGATGGCTTTAGCTCAGGTCTTCTTAGAATCAAGCCTGTCTCTCTATCCCTTCTTCAAAGTGCAATATATTGATGAATTATTATTATTTGTATTAATAATAGCTTATGTCATCATCACCACCATCATTATTATTTTTATTATTATTATTTTGACTGAGCAAGTGGCTTCCCCTCTCCAAGATTTCCTTTACTCATCTGTAAAATAAAGAATCAGGACTAGAGCTCTTAGGTCTCTTTTCAACTCTAAATCTATGATCTAATGAGCCTTTTACACTATATCAATAATAAGAGTAAGGATAATAATGATAAATAATAGCTAACATTTATACCACACTTTAAGACTTTCAGAGTACTTCACATCTATGAGATAGAGATAATAGCACTTTCCCTGCCTCCCTCAATGGTTGTTGTGAGGCTGAAAGGTTAGCATTTACAAGGGCTAGCCAGAAAGAGCTAATAGTTGTTATGATGACTCCTTTTCCTGACTCAGGGATTCATGATTTTTTTTTCCATGATTATACTGAACTTTAGCCCAGTGATGCCTCTGAGTATGTCTATCTACCTAGGCTCTGAATAGCCCCAGCTTGGCGTATCTAGGCTTATTTTACCCCTCTTTTTCTATCTCTTCCCTCCCCATCAGGCTCATTGCTGTCAGCGTGTTTGTTTCAGGCAGCCCCATAGGCCATTGGATGTTTCCAGCTCAGTAGACGCCAGCCTCCAGCCATAGCCATTAGGTCCTATTATTGTTGGGCATAAATAAAATAAGGTCCATAAAGCAGACCGTATACTTTAAAGTGATGACATCAATATCTGCAGCTCTGCCATGTTTCCCAGCTGTCTTTCCATTACTGATAAACTTACTTAAGAATCATAATAGCATGGTATTGATGCAGCTAGGTGGCTGAGTAGTGAAGTTGAGTTGATAATTGTTGGCTCTGGAGTCAGAGAGATCTGAGTTTAAATCTAGACTTAGGCACTTATTTGCTGTATGACTCTTGGTAAGTCATTTCCCCTTTTTTCCAGACACAATTTACTTATTTCTAAAATGAAAATCATAAAAGTACCTATTTTACAGGGTTGTTCTGATGAGCAAATGATATAATATATGTAAAATGTTTTACAAACCTTAAAGTACTACATGAATGCTAGGTATTATTATGTTATTGTTGTTCAGTCATATCCTACTCTTTGTGACTCCATTAGGGATTTTCTTAGCAAAAATTCTGAAGTTGTTTGCCATTTCATTTTCCAGCTCATTTTACAGATGGGGAAAATGAGGAGAATAGAGTTGAACGACTTGGCCAGAGTCACAGACCTAGTAAGTGTCTGAAGTCAGATTTGAACTCAGGAAGATGTGGCTTCCTGACTAGAACTGGCCTTCTATCCACTGTGCCACCTAACTGCCCAATTATTATTATAGTACATGAAAAGATTGCAGAGGTGGTTTCTGATGGATTTGGGTTCAAATCCTGCCTTTGATGCTTATTACATTACACATCAAATAAGGGGTTTGGCCTAGATAAGTTCTGTGGTCCCATTGAGACCTAGGTTCCCTCTGAATACTGTCTATTTCTTCAATGCACTAAGCCTCAGCTTTCTCTCTAATCATTACTCTCCATCACTGGACACATAAGATAGAAGGCTGCCTTCTGCAATGACAGTGATTCCCTGTCTCTCTATTGTTCTAAATCTACCCACATTCTGAACCAAATCTGGAAGACATCATGTTTCCCTTGGCAAACCTGTTCTTCTCACTGCTTGAGAAAACTCAGGGAGATGCTGGCAGATCAGATGATCCCTGGAAGCAGCAGAGTTGATTGGATGAACACATATTGCTTTACAAGAGATTTATCAGAATATGCAAACACAGACAGTATCTTCGGGTTTCTGCCATGTGGGAAATTCCTGTACCAACATTTATTGTCAGTTCATGTTCCACCTTCTATAGGAAGCTTTTCCTGATCCTCTTAGCTGCTAGTAAGCTCCTTTCTTCCTCTGTAATCCCTTATGTTTATTTTGTATAAACTATGCATATAATGTATGTCTATGCTACCTCCCCCAGTAGAGTGAAAACTTCTTGAAGGGAAGAGCTATTTAATTTTTGTCCTTTGTTTTCTCCAGGGCTTGGAAGAGAGCAAATTATTTAAAAACTTAATGTTGGTTGACTGATCATTTGGGGTAGAAGGTTGAAGCACACAAAAGTTAAGTGACTTATCAGAGGTCATACAGCTTGTGAGTGTCACAATGGATCAGGTCTTTATTTAAATCCAACAG